GCTGAGGCAAGAGAATCACTTAAGCCCAAGAGTTGCAGGTTGCTGTAAGCTGTGATGACATGGCACTCTACTGAGGGTGACAAAGTGAGACTCTGTCTCAAAAAAAAAAAAAAGCAAGCTCTGTGTATGCTTCCAGTGTGTTTAATATCTTGTTCTACTTAAGATATATCACAAAAGAAGTTGCTGTCTTCTAAAATAGAAAGAAGAAAGTAACTTTGTACTTTCTAATTTGAACAGTAAGTGCCAACAGAGCAAAATAATCAGACTGTGTGGAAAATGATTTACTGACTTCATACCCTGGCCGCCTGCACATAATGCTGTATTGTTTGTCTATTGCTGTGTGATTAGCACAAACTTAAGATTTAGCAGCCCACATTAATGCCTGTGACCTGGAACTGAGGCTTGGCTTGGCTTTGCTAGGTCTGCTGCTCTGGGTCTCAGGAGGCTGAAATCAAGGTGTCAGCCACCCTGCATTTTCATCTGAAGTCTTCAGTAGGAAGAATATGCCTCCAAGCCTCCAAGAGCATGTAGACTGTTAATAATGTTTATTTCCTTATTGTATGCCTGAGGAATTGTCCCAGTGTTAGATTTTTGCATGAAGCCATCCTCAGGTCCTAGAAGCCACCAATTCCTTGCCATGGGATAGGTTCACATAATCTCTCAAAACATGATGGTCAATTTCTTGCAGGCTAATGAGAGAATCTCTCTCTCCAGTGCTCAAAGGCAGAGTCTTCTAATTATAAAATGTAGTGTAACCTAAATCATAGGACTGGCATCCCCAACACCACTGCTAGAATCTAACATCAGATCCCACCAAACATAAGGTTCTCCAGAGAGAGAACTGGTCTCCCTCCTACCGCACGGGCCCCGGAGCATCCCAGAGACATCCTGCTTCCCGCCAGCATATCCTTCCCACTCCACCCTTCCCGCAGCAGCCACGCAGGGAGCAGAGCCCCCAGCTGGGGCAGAGCCTGTGGCCTTTACACGCAGGAGTTACAAACTCTGCAGTCAACAACTCGGGGCAAAACTTTATTCTCTGTAACTCAGTGGAAAACAAACAAACAAAACAAATTTACAGCTCTCTCCCCTTCCTCCTAAGGATGGTACACTTAATCTGTCCATTTCACAAAACTCTTGTCATTTTCAAGTTTAAACTTGAAGTCCCAGCAGGTCCATTTCTAGGAATTTATTCTAAAGATAAACTAACTCAAGTGAGAAAGGTGCCCAAATAAGGTTATTTGTTGCAGCTTTGTCTGTAACAACAGACAGAAAACAACCTAAATGTTTATTACCGAGAACTAGTTACATACATCTCGGGCCAGCACTTTGTGGGGTACAGTTCCTACATACCCAAAAAAGAGACCCAGAAAGGTCTTCAAGCACCAAAAGGAAACATTCTCCAGGCAGTAGTGTTAAGTCTAAGAAGCAAAGTACAAAATTGTGTGAGCCATATCTTACCATTTGTGTATGCCAAGGATATTTCTGGAATGATGCAAAAAGAAACTTTTTAACAGTGGTGGCTCTGAAGAAATGGATGAGGGATGGGTGGGGGGGAGAGATAAGGAGGAAATTTTACTTTTCACTGTGAAATCCTTTGTATCTTTCTAAAAAAAATGTTTTTATTGAGGTGAAATTCACCATTTCAAAGTATAAAATTCAGTGGCATTTAGTAGGCTCAAAATATTGTGCAACTATCACCTCTATCACAGTTATTACCCCCAAAGGAGACCCTGTCCCCATTGAATAGCCAGGCTTTTTGCGCAGTTTCCATGCTCTGCTATTTCATGCAGTGTTCTGCAAGAAACAGATGGTCTGCTGAAAGAGACAGGGGAAGTTTACTCTTCATAAGGGGCAGTGAGAGAGGTGAGCACAGTGTTAAGGAAGCCTCAAAGGAGTCACCTCCAGCAGCCTGTAGCAGTGAGGGAGGAGGTATCCCAACCACAGCAGAGCCTGCTGACAGTGGGTGGCCAGCTGGGAGGGGACAGGAGGAATAAAATCCTACACCCTCTGCTCTCCTGCCACAACCCCCATTGGTCTCACTCAACCAGAGGTCAGAGGCCAGGAGACTGAGTGACTGACACATAGTCAGCTCCAGGGAGAGAGCTGGAGGAAAGAGTGGAGAGGGAACCTGGGGACAAGCAAAGACTCGCTGGCATGCTATTTGTATTTGCTTTTCAAAATTTAATGAACTCACATAAGCCCAAGAGTTTGCTGTGAGCTGTGACACCACAGCACTCTACTGAGGTTGACACAGTGAGACTCTGTCTCAAAAAAGAAAAAAATGTAATGAACCATTTTAAAAGCTAAGCTGGATCAGACTCCACCACTCACTGTCCTCTTTGTCAGCACCGTGTCCCAGGCTCAAGCTTCTGTTCAGATGCACCTTTGGTCCTGATGGGGTCCACCCTCCTGCCAGTGACTGCTGGATACCTGTGCTCCCATTGGCCTCTTTCACCAGCCCACAGACTCCTCCTCATGTGGCCCCCAGACCCTTGTTTCATTGCTAGCTCTGAGGCAGTGGGCTGCCCAGATGCCTGCCCAGGCCAAGTATCCCACATCTATCTCTCCTCTGTGGCCTTCGCTGGGCACCTTGGAACCTTGTCACTTTCTTGAGTGACCTCAGGTCCCCATTACTCTCAGATCTGCATGCCAACACAGATCTTCAAAGGAGACCTTCTGAAGACCGTTCCCCTGGTTCCTCCTTCCCTTTGAATTCCCTCGCCCTTCCCAGTTCCCAGGATTTGTGAGGATCTGAGGGATGTGCAGAGGAAAGGGGAATGAGGGAGAGAAGAACTTGTCCCACTTCATCACACATCTTTCCAAACCCTCCCAGGCTTTCATCAGGACCAAGAATTTGGAATTCAAAGCTGAGAATTTGGGGTCTTTTTCTCTTAAAGAACTGGCTTATTATTTAACAGTGTTGGCCACTTGACTCCTCAGTCAGCTGTGACCAAAGCTTTCTCCATCATCTTCTTGGAGCTAGTGGCTACTTTGACCAGCCTCCAGGTCGCCACCCTCATGATCCAAACAGTTACAACTGAGCCCTTTAGTTGGAGATCTGCCTAAGGTCTTGGGGCAGGGGCGCAGTGGAAGATTCAGGCTTCCTGCCCAGTGTTCTTTCTCCAGTATTGGGGAGGCAGCATCCAGGGACCTGTGTCCTGAATTTGCTCGCTTTTCTCAGTTACCTGCCTTCACCAGTCAGGCAGCATCACCTGTGACCCAGCTAGGCCCACTTCCCCTCTTGGGGGTGTCCCCTAAGAATCCCCACAAACACCTCCAGTGTTTGCACATAGTCTGCACTGCAATGAATGGTGATCCCCCAAAATCTGTGTCCACTGAGAGCCTCAGAACGTGATCTCATTTGGAAACAGGGTCTTTGAAGATGTAAGACCTTAACATGAGGTCGTATGAGATTAGGGTGGGCCCCAGTCCAATGACTGGTGCCTTTTATAAGAAAATAGGGAAATAGACTACTATGGTTTGACTGTGCCCCCAAATTTCACGTGTTGAAACTTAAAATCCCAAATTCATATGTTGATTAGAGGTGGGGCTTTTAAGAGGTAAGTAGGGTTAATAAGGTCACAAGGGAGTGCTCCAGAATGGGACCAGAGGAAGAGGGACTGAGCTAACACAGTCTTGCCGCTCACCATGCAGTGCCCTCTGCCATGTATAGCACAGCAAGAAGACCCTCACCAGAGGCTGGCACCTGAATAAGGGACTTCCCAGCCTCCAGAGCTGCAAGAAATTAATTTTCTTCACAGATTACTGAGTCTGGAGTGTTCCATTATAGCAACAGAAAATAGACTGAGACAGACACATAGAGGGAAGACAGAGGCAGAGGCCGGAGTGATGCAACTACAGGCTGGAATGCAAGGCCTGCCAGTGACCCTGGAAGCCAGAAGAGAAGCAGAGTCTTCCCCAAAATTTGCAGAGGGGGAATGGCCTTGCTCACATCTGGATCTTGGACTTTCAGCCTCCAGAACTGTGAGAGAAAACATTTCTGTTGTTTCAAGCCCTCCAGTTTGCAGTACTTTGTTATGGCAGCCCTAGGGCATGATTGCATAGATAGTCCTAAAGGGGAGGATTCTGGTGGTCAGGGACAGTCCCTGCTCATCTCTCTTCATGGCTGCCTGGAAACCCACCATCAGCACACCTTTTCCCTTCAATGGAAGGGACAGATCCATGTTTCTATTTAGGTGTTCCTGGGTAGCAGACCCTGAATCGCCTTGGTCATATCTCTTCCCTGCGAAGAGATGTTCCAGGTGTGAACTATATTACCATCCTCAGTGTTGAAAATGTCTCCTTTCCGGGCGGCACCTTTGGCTCAAAGGAGTAGGGCGCCGGCCCCATATGCCAGAGGTGGTAGGTTCAAACCAGCCCAGGCTGAAAACTGCACCGGAAAAAAAAAAAAAAAAAAAAAAAGTCTCCTTTCCTTCCTGCCCTTGAGACCAGGAACTATGAGTCCACTCCCGACCTCCGGCCTCCAGCACAGGGCCTGCGTGCGGGAGGTGGACTGAGCCTGCGGACACCCTCACAGGGCTGCATTCTGCCAACAGCAGGTCAGGGTTGCAGAGTAGATGAAGTCAGCATCCGCAGCCACCCCAGGATCTGGGTCTGGATTTGTGCAAAGAACCCCTTTTGCTCCACTGTGGCCTTTTAAAGCCAGTGAGGAGGTTTTCTAGGGTCCCAGAAGCCCTGAACCCATTGGCCCAAACCTCCTGGGAGAACCGGAGAGAATTTGCATCAAAAAGAACACTGTCTTCATTGAAATTCTCCTCATCTCCAGTGAAACAAAACCACAAAGAAAAGGAAAGTTTTAATTCTGAGCAACTTCACCAGGGAGGAGAGGGTTGGGAATTTTTTTTTTTTTTTGAGCTTCTAAAAATAGAGAAGAAATGGGCCTCTTTGGGTCACTGTAGTCACTCCCCCTGCCCGCCCCCACTGCCCACTCAAGGCCAGCCTCTCACAGTGGGTGACAGAGCGCTCTTTGCCCAAGGCAGATGCCACGCAGTTCTGGAGCTGGATACAGCTGCCCCCACAGGGACCCCAACATGCCAGACATCAGAGAGGTCCTGCAGGACAGCCGACAGGACACCACTGTGGGGACCACCCAAGAAAACTCAAAAACTGGGTAAGTCATAGGTGGTTGGTCTCTGAGCACAGCCTGTGGGCAGCATCTAGTCCCTGCGGGACTCTGGGCCTCAGCTGTGTGAGCCCAGGTGGGCGCCTATCAGAGCTTCACCTTCTCTGCTTGGGAAAGGAAGGGAAGGGTCTGGGTGATCTCTAAGGTGGGATAAGAAGTTGCCACTTGGAATGCGGCTTTGCGAGTCTGCTCCCCTGTCTAGCTGAGAGAGGCTGGACTGAAGAATGAGGCACTACCTAGGGGTGTGAGTCCTGGGACAGAGGGAGAACTTTTCTGTCAATAGGATGGTTTCTCTGTGTCCTCAGAGGGTCTTAGGCATGTAGGGGCGGCGGTGAATGACAGACAAGTTGAGGGGGAGCTAGAGGTTTTGGCTCCAGCTTGCTGTGTGACCTTGGCCAGTCCCTGGCCCTCTCTGTGCTGTGGCTTCCTGGTCTGTGCATGGGAACAGTGACCGAAGTTTCCCCAAAGCCCTTCGCTGTGTGTATTTAACTAATCTCTGATTCCGAGGAAGCAGATTCGGTTTGTCAGGCATTTACCCATTTCCTCTGGCCTAGGTCCTGTCCATCTAAGGGTGATCCTGGCAGGAGAGAACCCCATCCCTCACCCAGACTCCCCACAGGAGTCCCACAGGGACTAGATGCTGCCAGGAGGGAGGGAGGAGGCCACACGCAGAGCTTCAGGGTCCAGACCTCTATGCAACCCATCCCCAGGAAGGTCAGAGGCCAAGGAGAAGAGGGGAGAGGCTTCTAATTGGGGGGCCTTGAGATAGACCTTGAATGATCATGGGATTAAAGACAAAGCCTCAGGCGGGGAAAGAGGCTGACAGTGCAAAGCAGAAAGTTCAGGGAGGGAGAGGTCTGGGAGGCTGGAGTATAGAATGGGGGAGGACAGGGCCTAAATGCCAAGGTCTGTGTAATGGGGGGAGATTGTCATTTTGTAGCACTTGTGCTTCAGAGAATTTGGCCACTGCTCTGATGGGAGGTTTGAGGAAGGTAGATGGATGAGAAAGGGAACAATCCCTGGACGTGAGCCATAAGGCCCTGGAGGATAACTGACCCAGAGATGCATTCGGGATGTGCTCTGAGCACCCCTGCACCACCACTTTCCCCGATCCCTGGTTAGGGCATGCCTGTCCCACAAGGTGCCCATAGGAAGACCCAATAATGTACCCAAAATAGAGGCAGGCCAGCAGGAAGGCAGCTGGGGCACAGGAGCCATTGAAAACAAAAAACAACGTTGCTAGGTCCCAAGGTTTGCCACCCTGTAAGTGAGGGGCCAGGCAGGGCTCAGGAGCCCAGTGTAGTGAGAGTCCATGGTGAGAAGGGGCGACAGGGGTCCCAGGTGTCCCACGCAGCTCACACAGCACTGGGCCTGTTTTGCAGACATCACTGGAGGGAGGTGGATGAAGCCGGGGCAGAGCCCCAGCCTGGCACAGAGATGGGCTCACTTGTAGAAGGTTAAATAGGGCTGTGGCGCAAGACAAGGGCAGAAAATCCAGAGTTGGAGTACCAGTTCCACTACTTTGTTTTTGCATGATTTTGAAGAAGTTGTTTAACCTCTCTGATCCTCACCATCATCCTCTGTGCACATAAAGATAAAATGTCTGAACTTCACTGACAACAGGGGGATCATATCAACTGTGTGCATAGAAACACTTCCAAAAGCACAAGATCTCACACGCCTTGGCACAGTGACCCTCACAGCAACATCTGGAGATTCTCTTAGCAGCAGGCTGGCAGGCACATAACTTGGGTTCCAGTCCAGCTCTGCTCTTGACCTACTATGTGACCCTGGGCAAGACATCTCTGGGTCTCAGTTTACTCATCTGTCAAATGGGAAAATAAACTTCCTCTGTCAGCCTTACAGAGTGGCTGTGAGGAAAGAACATTAAGACCTTGTTAAACCTTACTCTCAAATCAGAGATGCAGTTTCCCTGCTGCTGCTGATTCAGCAATGTTACTTCTCCACTTCTCTGTCCTTTCCTAGCTCCAGCTAGGAAGGGCTCTATCTCAGGCCTGTTACCTGCCCTGACCTTGTGGCCAAAGGCAGGTCTGCATTCCTCCAACAGCCTGAGGAGGACTTATCTCTCCCCACCAGTGTTGCAGATGGGAGGCTGGAGGCGGAGGAAGGAGGAGGTTGAAAGCCAGAGGAGAGCTTCCACCTTGGCCTGACCCAGGTGAATTCTCATTTGTGCCACACCAGTTGCCGGGCTGAAGTCCAGTGGTATGGGCGAGTGTCTTGAGGATGCAGTCAGGCCAGGGCCAGGAGAGGTGGAACTTGCTGGGCTCGAGGGGAATGGGTCTAGCACTGCTCTGGCTGCCTGTATCCTGCACCCTTTGAGGCTGTGTCTGTAGCCCACACCATCCATCGAGAGTACTCACTGGGCATGCCCAGGGCCTGGATCCTGACCCTATTAAACCCTCCATCTAGGAGAAGCACCAGTGCCTCTGAGCTTGAGGAAGCCCATTATGGAGGAAGGACTTAGAAGGAACCTGAGAAGGAACCAGTTCAACCTGGGTTTGAAAGATTGTAGATGCCTCAGATGGCAGGCAAGAGTCATCTACCAAAGGTGTGGCTGTGGGGAAGTATAGGTGGCCACCAGACTGGGCAGGTTGGAGGGAGGCCAACTTCTGGGTCTAGAGAGTAGATGAGGCCAGACCTGTGGTGGCCAGACATGTGGGCAACCAGGACCACAAAGGAGGCAGAGGGCAACCCCATGGGGATCCTGAGTAGAGCCTGGTGTGGGGAGGTGAATCTGGTAGTGTGAATACAGGGTGCACTGGGGGTGGGCTGGAGGCAAGAGGCAGAGCCCCCAGGGTCCTGTCTGGCCCAGAGAAGGATGACAGACTCTGAGTTAACCACCAGCACTGTAGCTCCCAGCTGCCTCTCCCAGCACTGCCTGCCCAAAGACGAGGTACAGAAAGGAGCTCCCTAAGACCCAGCAACGTGGGACAGTCACGGGAGGCTGCTATAAGCCCTGTGAGCAAGGCCATTTTCACTGAGAAATCTGTCCAAGGATGACAATGAGTGAACCCCCCATCTATAGAGTGTGCTAGCCTTGGAACAATGATGATGTGAATGTTACTGAAAAGACACAGGCGTCCCTAAAAATATGGAACACTCAGGGCCTCCTAGCTCTGAAGTTCTTTACCATTCCCACCACCCACGGCCCCATGATAGAGAAACAGGTGGTGGTTTTTTCCCTTCATGTTTTGGTTTCTTTATTGTTTTTGTAAGAATACATTCATTTATTCAAAATTATTCATTGTTGAATATTCAAGCACTGTACTAAGCACTAGAGAATATCGTAGAAGACAAAACAAGTTCCTGCTATAATCCTACTGAATCCTAAAGATCCATCAGGTGGGTGGATCTCCTGAGCTCAGGAGTTTGAGACCAGCCTAAGCAAGAGCAAGACCCTATCTCTACTAAAATATATAAAAAATAAAAATAAAAAAACTAGCCAGGTGTTGGAGTGGGCACCTATGGTCCCAGCTACTCAGGAGGCTAAGCCTAAGAGTTTGAGGTTGCTGTGAGCTATGATGGCACAGCACTCTACCCAGGATGACAGTGAGACTCTGCCCAAAAAAAAAAAAAAAAAAAAACCCACAATATTGAGGGGAATAAAAACCACTGAATGATGTGAATGATGCACTTAAAAATGGCTAAAATGGCTCTTTTTATGTTGTGTATATCTTACCACAATAAAAACAAATTATGTAGGAGTTTTTTTGTTGTTGTTTTTTTGCAGTTTCTGGCCAGGGCTGTGTTTGAAGCTGCCACCTCCAGCATATGGGGCCGGCACCCTACTCCTTTGAGCCACAGGAGCCACCCTAAAAAAAATGTCTTTTAAATGTTAGTAATTTTTTTTTAATTATGGAGTAACATAACAGGGATCTGTCTTAGTCTTGGGGACCAGGAACGACTTCCCTGAGAAGACAGCATTTAGATTGAGACATGAAACATGAATAAGAGTTGGTTAGGACAAGAGCTTTCTAGGAAAAATCATATTCCTGAGGAGGGAAGGAGCTTCCAGTGTTCAAGAAACTAAAAGGCCGTTGGGAACAGGGTAGAATAGTGACTGTAGCACAGGGGCTACAGGAAGTCAAGATGCTGGGGTCAAAAGCCCCAGAACAAAGGATAGGACTGGCCAGTGAGAAGTGTGAGTCCCTAGGGCAAACTAGCTCTGGTGCAGATCTCTAAATACAGATCCCAATGCCTTTGGGATGCAACTCGTCCTAGCCAGCTTTGCATCCAGCCCCATCAAGGCACTAGGCCCAAAGCTAACAGATTCTCAAATATGGCTGATTTTAGCCCTTACTGAAAAACTATGAGTCAATAAGCATTAATAGCAACCCAATCAAAATACAGAACATTTTCATCACCCCACAAAGTTCCCGTGTGTCCCCTCCAGTTCATCTCCATCCCACTCTTCATAAGCTGCCATCAAAGCCTCTTTCTGGCTGTTCTTGAACAGCAAATACATTTTTCTGTTATTTCACTCTTAAGGTCATCCTTTCAATTCTGTCCCCAGGAAAGCCCATAAATTCTGTCCCCAGGAGATTCCCAGGCCATTGGGGGGTGGGGTGGTTAGGCCACTAAATCCAATTTATTCTGTCACAACATTCACATATTATCAATCTATTCTGACTTGAATACCTCCAGGGAAGGGGAACGTGCTACCTACCTCGTCTTCATCCCTGTAAAGACACAGGTTCCTTTAGGGACAGTGGTAGTGGAAGTCCTATCTCACTTCTGGGTCTCAGCCTTCCCCAGACAAACCTGAGTCCTTGCAAGGGGGCCTGTGAGGAACACGTGAGAACCTGGCTATATAGATGCCTTGGAAATTGTAAAAGTTGTGATCATGTGAAGGCCATCTAGGGCCTACCTCAGATTCTGGTGCCAAAAGAACTGACATTTGCAGAATTTACATTTGTGGAATTTAATAGATTGTCGGGTCTTTATTAATGGAGGCAAAATTTTTACAT